CAACTCCCAGAATTCCCCAGCCAGCAAATGCTGGCTGGGGAATTCTGGGAGTTGAAGTCCGGACATCTTCAAGTGGCAAGGTTGAGAAACACTGCACCAGGGACTTCTGTCAATACTTGATCGGGAAAGAAAATGGGTAAAGATTCAGGAGTTTCTGGGAATGTTTCATGGGGGGGTTAGGGGGAGTCTTGTAGGGAGCCCCCATCCTTTTCTGCGCTGGGATCTTCAGTGTTTGCCAGTTGTTAAAGCAGCTGTGGAAGTCACATGGGGGGCCTCCATTTCTGGGCCTTCCCCCCCCTGCTAATGGGCAAAGAGGCGCCTCTCCCCGTGGCCGCCATCTTACATCTACCAGGGGGACAGGAGCAAGCCTCATTCATCCCAGGGCAGCATCCTTCCCAGTGGCTGCTCACTGGTTCATGCTGGGGAGACACAACCAAGCGGACCATTTTTTGGGTGGGGGGGGAGCGAGGAAAGCTGCGTTTTAACTCTTGATATGAACTCGTCTTCGTCTTCGTCTTTTACCTTCTCAGGATACGATGTGATCGCTCAGGCCCAGTCTGGCACTGGGAAGACTGCCACCTTTGCCATCTCCATCCTGCAGCAGATTGAGCTGGATCTGAAAGCTACCCAGGCCTTGGTGCTGGCCCCCACTAGGGAGCTGGCTCAGCAGGTGGGGCTCTCCCTCCCTCCCTCTCCTTCCCTCCTTCCTTTGCTTTTTCTTCCCCTCCATCCCCTCCCTGTCCTGTCTTTCCATTTCTTCCCCCCCTTTTTCTATGTCTTTCCCTCCCCATCCCTTTCTCTCTTCCCTGTTTTCTCTTCCTCTCCCATGTCTGTCTTTTCCTTCTTTCTCCCTGTTTGTATTTCTCTCAGTTTCTTCTTTTCTTCCTCTTTATCTTCCTTTCCCTCCCTTTGTACGTTTTTCTCTCCCTTTCTCCCCTTCCATTTCTTTTCCCTTCCTTTTCTCTTCCTTTTCCTTTCTCTGTTTTCTCCTCTTGTTTTTCTCTCCCTTTCTTTTCTTCCTCTTTGCTTCTCTTCCCTGTTTGTCTTTCCCTCTGTTTCTCTTCCTTCCTCTCCCTCTTTTTCCCTCTCTGCCCGTCTCTTTTCCTCTCTTCTTTTACTCCTTGAGTGCTCAAACGTGCCCCTCACTGAGGGGGGAGGACTTGGCCTCAGCTGCCCACCAGTGGTTAGTAGCCCCTCCACCCCCGTGCCCCCCCTGCTAACTGGGCAGAGAAGAGCCTCTGACTGTGGCGGCTTCTCACATCTAGCAGGGGAAAAGCAACCGCTTTCCTCATTCATCCCAGCCCAGCGTCTCTCCCCGTGGCTGATGGCTGGTTCATGCTGGGGAAACAGATAGATAGATAGATAGATAGATAGATAGATAGATAGATAGATAGATAGATNGTTTCTAGATCCTATGGAGGATTGGCATGTGTATCTTGTCCCCCTGCTTAGAATTGGGCTAATGTGGGGTTGGTCCATAGTTTCATCCAACTCGGGGAAGGCTGGAAGCTAGGCCCAGAGATTGCAGTTCCTCTGAAGGATTGTGGCCCACCCTTCCAAAGAAAAATGGCTCCCCCCTCCAAGACACACACACACTCTTAGGAATATAATAGGGGAATGTGATATATGGTTTCACCCCACTTGGAAGTGGCAGGAAACCTGGCCAACACCTGGGCTTCTAGTTTCTGTGAAGGACTGCTTCTCCCACCCCCCTCCAAAGAAGACACCTGCCCCCCACTTGGGAATTGATGTAATAGGGGAGGGGCCCCATAGTTTCACCTCAGGTGCAGGTGACAGGAAAGCCTGATCTTATAGTCCCAGTGAAGCTTTACACCCGGTTTCCTGCTTAGGAATTGGTCTGGGGGTCGTCTACAGTTCCCATTTGAGAGGGAAAGAGGGAAGGGGGGGTTCCTGGGGTGCTGAGGCTGATCCTGTGTCCCCTTCTTTTCCCCGCAGAGCAACTGGAATGAGATTGTCGACAGCTTTGACGATATGAACCTGTCGGAGTCCCTCCTGCGAGGAATCTACGCTTACGGTTTTGAGAAACCCTCTGCTATCCAACAGCGAGCCATTCTCCCTTGTATCAAGGGTGAGCCTACAGAAGACCACCAGAAATTAGCACCGCCCTTGGGACGATAGGTCCTGGTCCAGAAAGAATGCAAAGTTAATGATCAATAAAGGAGAAGATTTGTAGCTCAGGGTTGGCACGAGGGCTCCCTGGCGCTGTCCGAGCTCGGTTGATTTCCTGGCAGGCCTTCCGTGACCCAACTAGGGAACGCCGTCAGTGCTACCGAGTGTAGAATTTGCAGAGCCCCCAAGCAAACCGCACTCCCTTCTAGCCCTGGTTTGGGTAATCAAACGTCTGCGTGGAAACAAACACCAGGGCAGTGTTTCTCAACCTTGGCAACTTGAAGANGATGTCCTGGAGGTGACGAAGAAGTTCATGAGGGACCCCATCCGGATCCTAGTGAAGAAGGAAGAGTTGACTTTGGAGGGGATTCGGCAATTCTACATTAACGTGGAGAGGGAGGTGAGTGCGCAGGAGGGCTTTCTGGCAGGGCCAAACGGGGGGGGGGAGAGCCTAGGAGGGCTTGGTTAAGTGGGGGGGGGCTTCACGTGGTGGGTATTTCAGAACGCAGCTGGATTTGTTCCAAGGCCCCCCTCCCCTAAAAATACCCCCAGCCTTGACTCGGTCCTACAGTGTTTGCAAGGAACGTCTGTTGGGGGTCCTTGATGCTCCCTCGACCGTCGTTTCCTTGCAGAGGGTTTCTTTTTCCACTGCCCTGATGGTGTCCCCTAGTTGGATCGTGAGACGCCGGCCAGAAACCCCCCCCCCCCAGCCTCTCAAGGGAGCCATCAGGTTGAGCCCTGAGCTGCCCAAGTAGCCTCGTTTTATGGCTGCCTTAATTCTCTCCCTCCGTCAAGGAATGGAAGCTGGACACCCTCTGCGATCTCTACGAGACCTTGACCATCACCCAGGCGGTCATCTTCATCAACACCCGGAGGAAGGTGGACTGGCTGACGGAGAAGATGCACGCCCGGGACTTCACCGTTTCGGCCATGGTGGGTGGGCCCTGCCTTTGGGGCCAGTGGGGAGGGGGGGGGGCTTTAGGGAGACCCAGGAGTTTTTTCTCCTGCATGGATTAGGGGAGGTGGGGGCAGCATAGTGGACAGAGCATGTTGGGGAGGGAGTCACCCGCTGTGGTCTCTTCTCTGCCCGCCCAGCACGGGGACATGGACCAGAAGGAGCGTGACGTCATCATGCGAGAGTTCCGCTCCGGATCCAGCCGAGTCCTCATCACCACCGACTTGCTGGTAAGTGCCGGGAAGGGTTTCCCCCCCATCCCTCCCTCCCCCCCTCCTTCCCCAGGGAGATTCCCTCTCTGCCTGGCCAGTGCGGTGCCAACGGCGGATTGTAGCTCCTGGGCAGAGGAACGGTCGAAAGGGGCTGCTTGACTCCACGGCTGGCACCCCCCCTCCGAGGTTCCCAGTCACTTTGCAGCAGCTCACAGTGGGATCTGTCGCCCGCCTGGCGGTTCTTTTTTGGGGGTGGGGGGATTGGGGGGGGGCAGAGACTTTGGCTTCAGAATAGCAGGAGTTGGGCATTGCCAAGGGGGAGACCCTCGTTTCAGAAAGGAGAGACGGGAATACAATACAATAGCAGAGTCAGAAGGGACCTTGGAGGTCTTCTAGTCCAACCCCCTGCGTAGGCTTCACTTCAGAGAAATGGAAAAGGGGTGTGGGGGGGGGTTTCTCTGGATAAAGGAGGAACAGGGCATTTTGTCGTAACTCGAGGACTGCTCTGCAGTGCAGGTCCCAGAATGTGCTGTAGGGGGCACAACAGCTCTTTGGGGCGAGACACCCCCCCCCAGTTGGAAAAGGGCCAAAGCTTAATGACAGGCAGTCCACTGGACTTGATGGCCACAATGGAGGGCAAAATTACTGTTAAGCGAGACGTCGATGACCACTTTACGACCTTCCTTGCCATAGTTGTTAAGCGAATCCCTGCAGTCAAGCTAGTCGCACAGTAGTTGAGGGAATCGGGCGTCAGAAGGTCACAAAATGGGGATCACCAGCCGTTGCGACCGTCACTCATCTGAATTTCATTCGGGGGATACTTGCAAAATGCTTTCCCCCCCCCCCCCCAGTCATAGTTTTCAGGGCTGTTTGATCGGTCACTCAGTGAAGCGTTAAGTCGAGGAGCATCTCACTAGGTGACCTTTCTACTTCAACCTCCCCCTTTCGCTCAAGCAGGAGACCCTAGGAAACACACACACACACACACACACNTCCTTCCGAGGTGGGTAAAATGAGGACCCAGATTGTTTGGGGGGGGGGAAGAGGCTGACTGTGAATTCCTTAGAGACAGATTGAAAGACCTAGGAAGAGCTATGTAAGGGCTCCAATTGACTTGCCACCTGTCTCATTGTGGGGAGGAGGGCTACTCTAGAGTCAGCCACCTTCTGGGACAGGCCCCTCCTGGGAAAGCCAGGCCCAGCCCTAAGGAGAACAACAGCAGTTGGAAGGGACTGTGGAGGTCTTCTAGTCCACCCCCTGCTCAAGCAGGAGACCGTAGGGCAGGAGGTCTCCAACCTTGGAGACTTTATGGACCCCCAACTCCCAGGAGACCCCAGTCTCGGCAGCGTTTGAAGACTTCTGGACTTTGGGAGTTGAAATCCACAAAGCTTAAAAGATTTGTTGGAGACCTCTCTGTGCTGTAGGGTGAATCTTGGGAGGCGTTTTCAGAAGGCACAAGGAGAAATATCTGAAGAGAAGATGCAACAATCACAAAAACAGGGAAAAGAAAAAGAAGTTAGGGGAGAAAAAGGTGGGGGGAGAGAAAAAAAGAATTAAAAGTAGGATTTTTGAGAGCCCAAGAGAAAAATGGCCAGAGGAACAAGAAAGGGGGGAAAAGTAAAGAGAATAGTAGTAAGAGTGTTGTGCTTATGTAACTAATTAAGGAATAAAGAAATGGTGGTATATTGTTAAACGTAGACAAAAACTGAAATGCTCTCTGAGGTTTAAATGGCATTAGAAGGATATACACAGTTTGTACCAAATATACCAATGGAGAAAATAAGAAGTGGAGATTTTGGTGTAACTTTGAAGGGGCAACGGAAGAGACACTGTTTATGTAGTAAGAAAAAATGAAAAATAATGGAGGAGAATAACTTGCCTTGAAAATGAAAACAAGACTATGATGCGAAATGGACGGTGTAAATGAGAGCAGGTGAAAGGAAAGGCACAACAGGGCTGTCCAAATTTGGGAACTTTTAAGACTTGAGGACTTCAACTTCAAGTATGGCTGGCTGGGGAATTCTGGGAGATGAAGTCCACAAGTCTTAAAGTTCCCAAGTTTGGACATAAGATGTATAATTTGGACATAATAAAGTTCCCATGATGTGTATAATTTTAATACAAATTATACATATTATAGCAGGGGTGTCCAAACTTGGGAAGTATAATAAGGGAATTATGTATAATTTGTATTAAAATTATACACATCATGGGAACTTTATTATGTCCAAATTATACATCTTATGTCCAAACTTGGGAAGTATAATAAGGGAATTATGTATAATTTGTATTAAAATTATACACATCA